TCAGAAGAACATTGTCGATTTTTTATCTTTCTTTTTGAGAATTACTCTATTCCGCGCGAGGTGGACAAACAAAAAACGATGCTTGGACAAATGAAAACCACAAGTAGACAAACAATTCTAGTCGTCAGAATGCACAAAATAAAGGTCGTCCACCGCATAAGAACATTGTCGATTTTTTATCTTTCTTTTTGAGAACTACTCTATTTCGCGGGCTGGACAAACGAAAACGATGCTTGAACAAACGAAAATCACAAGTGGACAAACGATTCTAGTCGTCAGAATGCGCAAAATAAAGATCGTCGATCGCATAAGAACATTGTCGATTTCTTATCTTTCTTTTTGAGAATTACTATATTCCGTAGGGTGGACAAACAAAAAATGATGCTTGGACAAACGAATGTCGTCTGATTTTTATAAAAAATCGCATTTGGGAGTGTCAACTTCACATGCTTTCAATTTTTAATTTTGATTAGAACTTTTTTTTGGAGAACGGATAAACTAAAATAGTTGGTGGACAAACATGAACAAATCGTGGACAAACGTATGCTGCTAAGAAATTAAAGGTATTTTGTCGTGGGGGTGCTGGTGCAAAAATCTTTTTTTATAACTTTGTTGTTATACTTTTTGTTTTACTTTGTTTATAGAGGGGGACAAACGAAATTTTTGGTTGGACTAACGATGGACAAACGAATTTTATTTTCGTTTTTCAAAAATTCGCATTTAGGGGTGCCAGCTACGCAGAGCTGGTAACACGATACTATAGCTCAGAGGACGAAAAATAGTAATGCCGAGCAGGATAAAACGTCCGGCACTCTGCCAATTTTTCGGCACTCTTGTGCGAATTTTATCAAGCGTTAAGGTGTACGAAGATTTAATAATTAATTATTAGTTGTGTTTAATTAATTATTAGTTGTGTTTTTCTAATCCCCATACACCTCCTAATACTTGACAAACTCCGCAGTTATCCGTAATTATAACGTAGTGTAAGCAGAACGCAGAAAACAGCAACACTGAGTGAGATGTCCAGCAGCCGGCGCTCTTGCGCGGTTTTTATCAAATATTAAGATGTATGGGGATTTATTAATTATTAATTATTTCTTTTTAATCCCTATGCGCCTTAATATTTGATAAAATCTGCGCAAGAGTGCCGAAAATTGGCAGAATGCCGGCTATACGGGGAAGATTTCGTAGTGAAAATTACTATAGAATTTCGTAACCAAGGAATAGGTTGACATTTTGCAATCACTGACTGCCCTTTCGTTTTATGTGTTATTCATACTTTAAGAACCGAAATGTGCTGTTCAAAAATTTGCTACGTTTCCAGCGGACTTTACTATGTTTTCCTTAGCAAGACCGACCTTAGTGACAATTTATTTTCCTGAACTACTAGAAACATATAACGAAATTGAAAAGAATTCATACAGAAAAATAACCATCATATCTCCTCCGTGTATTCGACTTTGATCTACTTCTCGATTAGTCGAGAATGAAATTTTCGCAGCGACGACCGTTTTATTCCCGTTGTGTCCTTCCGTCGATTGAACTTTCGGCGGTTTTAACGTTCTTACGCCGTCGGCTTCTCTCCGCGCAGAGTGCACTCGCGGTATGCGAGTACTTTTTGTGCCAGCGCGCTTTTTTGTTATGGCTAATGACTTCCTGCGTGTGAAGGAAATTTGGACGATTGCTTCGGGATTCTTGGCGTAATTAAGTGTTGTCGGACGGAGATTGAGCTTAATGAGACGTAGCGTTTGCGGCACGACTCCTGACGAGATCTCTCGGAATGAACTGCGGCGCTATTGTTGGATGTACAGTCAGTTACATGCGCGGCTTATTGCGCGACATTGTACGATTTCTTGTTTTCACCTGAACGCGACGGGTTAAACGGTAGCAGCATGGAGAAGGTTGCGGTGTTTTGTCAGAGGAGCAGAGCGTATCGCTCGACAACGGAGAACATGATCTGTTCGGAAATATGCCGTGCTAATGAAGCGATTCCCGCTAATCGCGGAATATTCGCGAGATCGCGCGCGTCTATATTAATAACGATAACGATGCTCCTTAGACGCGAACGTCGCGTTAACGTCACTTTTCGACTCCTCGTCGCGCCCCTCTCTCTCTCTCTCTCTCTCCCCCTCTTTTTCTCTCTCTTAGGCGCGATAACGGGATATTATAATGTTATCGCGCTCCCGGAGATTCCCGGGATAGTTAAGCGTGATCATGCGACCGGCTGATGAAGTTGGACTCTCGTAGTGTGAACCGCGATCTCTCGAAAACGCGCGTCCGCAAAGTCGCGAGCTTTGCATAGCGTTATCTCAACAAACAACGGTTATGCAACGAGCGAATGCGAGCGTGTAACAAAACGATTAGCTATAAATACGTTCGTTTCGCGTGCATACACGATCGGCACGTGTCAGATCGCGATGTGATTTCTCTCTTTTCCTTTTTTCCTCTTTTCCTGCTCCCCCCTCTCTCTCTCTCTCTCTCTCTCTTTCTCCTTCTTCTTTCCCTTCTTTCCTCTCTTTCCTGTTCGATGTATCGGCGAACTCCGCTAATGAATATGTCTCTCTTCAGATGAAAAATCTCTCGCCAGATTTCTTTATCGTTATCTGTCATACGTATTATCGACACGCGTCCCATCCGATGTTCCTCTTCTCGCGTTCTCTCGCGTACGCGTTTGAATCCTTTTTCCTCCCCTTCTTATTGTTTCTACTCTCGAGCTCGTGACTCTCAGACGACGGAACGCCCGTTGGAGAGTGCTCCGCGCGAGGAAACAATGTCGTATCGAAGTGAGTCATCCGACGTGCAGACGCGAAAGTCGCCTGAAACGGACCGCGCGAAATGCAAATCGAGTGACGAATCCGCTTGGCAAATAAAAGAGCGCGAAGGCCGAAGGTAATTAGTCCGATAAGAAGAGGAATGCCTCACAATATTGCATAATGTAAATCCTGTAATCGCGCGCGCGCGCGATAATTCCGATTGGCCGAGACACACATCTTAAATAATAACGTGGCAAAGTTTAATTAAAAACCCGGCGTGATATCATTACTTTCTCCCGCGTTTCGCCTCGGATTTTCGATTAATTATAATCCGTCTCTTTCTCTCTCTCTCTCTCTCTCTCTCTCTCTCTCTCTCTCTCTCTCTCTCTCACCAGCTGAACGAATACATTTTAGAGAAATGACAGCTTACAAAAAAGCCAAGAGGAAAAGACGAAATAAGACTGAATCGTAACGAGCGCGTGCGGCGTGACCGTAGGAGTTTCTGTCTCGTTTGATCGCGCAAGGACAGAAAATTCCTCAAGGCTCCCCGAGGATACGTACTCGGCGATCGTGCATGTGATTCTTGTGTGTCGCGTGTTTATCTTCAACACCTTAATAAATTATCAGCGTGCCACGTAGTATCATAGATTCGACCTGCATAACAGCGGTTGAACTTGTGAAGCGTGAACCGGACGTGTCCGACCATGCGTGACCAGGAACGTGGTACGATCCGATATTCTGGAACGCGCATTCTAGAGTCAGAGGATCGGAGGATGCGAGGATTTTAGAGATCACGGAGATGCACGGCGTGTGCGTGTCAGGGCGTGTTACTTGGTGTTTCTCCTCCTCTCCTTCTCCCGCTCGCGGATCCTCTCTCTCCACAGTTTCGCGGCGGATCTGTCCTTGATCAGACCTGGCCGGAGAATACGTCTGGGAGAACTCGGCTCGACTTGTTTCAGGGTCATCGCGCGTAAATCGTGCTCTATCTATCTCTCACACACTCTCTCTGTCTCTCTGTCTCTCTGTCTCTCTCTCTCTCTCTCTCTCTCTCTCTCTCTCTCTCTCTCTCTCTCT